GAAGGGGGCCCCGTTTGAGAGAAGTCATTGGTTTAAATTAGTAGATATCTGGTCTTCCTTTTCTCCCCCAGCCCCCTGCATTTATAAAAGGAAATTTTTTGATCCGCTGGGATGGAGGGGAATATAGTGAATGCATCCCATCTGATGGTACTGATTGGCCTAGTGAGGGGGGCTTGGAAGCCTGCTAGGGAGACCCAGAAACACCTCCTTGTGATGTGCTGTGTTTCTGAGTGGAACCTAAGCCTGTCCTCTAGGGTAGCTCTCCCTGGAGTTGAAGAACCCAGACAGATATGCAAGAAGCAGTTAATGAATAGTAAACTAGAATATATAACCAAATACTAAGTACTCTTTAGAAGAAGAGGTAGACATTTGTGAATGTGACTTCCGGGATAAATACCTGTCTGTATATAGGATGTTCAGGAAGTGGGAAGAGTTGACCAGCAAATCTGTTTGAAAGAACCATCCCTTCTATTACAGTTTTGACTTCTTCTTGTGCTGCGTGAGTTCTGTCCTTCACGTTCCCACCCGGTGCTCCATACCTGTCTGTGCTGGAGTTGGTTTTATATATTTAGGTGTTCACTCTCAGTTTGGCTTGCTTTCAATGATGTAAACAGATTTCAGGGGGGTGGGGAAGGCTTTGATTTACAGTGCTTACCAATTTCTGTGGTGTAAATACTTCCACTGTGGCTGATTTCCAGCAGCCAGTGTGATGTCGCTGAACATGGAGTTGGAAAGAGATGCAGTGGGTTCTTGTGAACTGGCAAGAACCCACTTCTGGAGGTGACTGCCGGTATCCTTGCTCAGTGTTTCCTCTAAGTGCAGAATCTTTATTCTAATATCTGGAAGGAGACTCTTCTTTCACTTTTACACCTTGTAAACTCTGGCTACCTACAGAATTGCTATTCCAGGGATTTCTTTTTTTTTTTTAATCTGTGTTTATGTGATGCTTTAGCTCTTTCTAACTTAATCTCGTTGTGTTTCATCTCAGCATGTGTCACCTGCTTTGTACTGTGATTAGGAGGGACTAGTTTTACCTTCTGATTTTAGAGCTGATTAAAAGGGGAAACTTTAATTGTGGATACTTGGACAAAAAAGCATAAAAAACGTTCTGTATATAAGAATGTTTCTGTATTTTAAAATCTTTCTTACTTCCATCCCCTAAGATCTGTTCACAGATATTTGTTAATAGTTTTATTTTTGTTATCTTGTGAGATGTTTTGTCAGTTATTACATAGCTTATTATTATTACTTTTTACATTGTATTTAAACATCTCTTTCCCTTCTCATACTGTGAGATTTCTCAGGAGCAAAGCCTCTATACACAGGGTGTCCAGTAAGTAGCTGAAATTGATCATTTGTTGAATGAACAATGAATAATAGACATTTGTCTAATTTTCAGTCTTATCATCACAAGAGGTCAGACCTGAGGAAGAAATTTGGAATAGTCCAAATTAAAATGAGAGTTGAGGCTTAGTCATGGCGTGAGCTCTATAAATAAGTAAAATCTAGGACTAAGTCTTAGATACCATCCATCGTTGGAGCAAAGGAAGCAGTATTAATGATAAAGGGGAAAGGAAGATTGTGGGAAGAAAACAGAGAGGCCAGTGCCTTAGATAGAGTTACAAGAAGAGTATCAGATAAAAGATGGATTGAGAAACATTTGTTGGATGTGACTAGAGGGATGTCAGTTGTACCTTTCAGAGAGCAGTTTATTTAATGTGTTGGGAGTAAAAACTTTGTTTTAAAGACTTAAGGAGGATATGAGGGGATAGGAATGGGAATCAGAGAATGTGGATCGCTCACCCAAGGATTAAGATGAGATAGGAAGTGAATGAATGTTAGGTATAGAGAGGAAGTAGGATTCTAGAAGGGGTACTTATTCATTTAAATGTTAGAAACATTTTTCATCATTGCCCTTATAAGTGACACTTCATAAAAGAGGTTTAGTTTTGAAAGTGCTATATGTAAAAGTCCATGTTTTGCCAAGTTGACATCTTTTCAGATGTAGAGAGCCCTGATTGAGGTGGGTGGAGATCTGTGGTCTAATATAGATCATGACATACTTTCAACACCAGGACTGATATTGGATGATTTTAGTGTGCACATCTATTGATGAGAGTCCCAGAAGGGAATTTTGGTGCAAGGCAGTTCAAGATGGTATTATTACTGTATGTATTAGAAATCAGTTATTTGCAGAGCAGTCTGTCTATGCTTTTGAAAAACCCAGGAATTACTACTTTATATCAATAGGTAACATCCCATCACTGTGTCAGGTATGTTGGAGCACACAAATAGAGTAAGAAATAGCTCTTGCCTACAGTCTGAAGAGAGAAAGACCATCTTTACGAAATGAATAGAGAACAGCAGTGAACAAGATGCATGTTCTGTGACTCCAAAAATTAAGACAAGCACGTGAAAGTAGGTCCTTTAGGAATGGATAGGCTACGGCTTGGTAGAGAAGAGAGGGGGTTTTTAGGGGGAAGGAAAAGTACAGAATGAGAACTGTGTATTTGGAAAAGAAGGTGAAACAAAGGGGAAATTTGAATATATTTCAATGTTATAAAAAGTAAATGATTTTCCAGGGGACAGCTTAGTTCCAAAATTATTTTTAGTCTGTTGTTCATATGCCAGACTGAAAGTAGCCTTTCAGTCAGCTTTGAACTGCTGTGTTCAAAGGCAGAAAGACCAAAGGACGATTCTTCCCCCTGTATCAGGGAAGAGATCTTGTCCCAGCAACCCCTTGGTGGACCTCCTGTTGGCAGGACTCGTGTCACATACCCAAGCCTTAGCTGCAGGGAAGGCGGAGAAAGCAAGTCTCTGGAATATTCCACCTCTATAGAGATAGATAAGAGTTCTCAGTAAGGAGGGTTGACGGGGTAAGGATAGATATTGAGTAGATAACACTAGAATTGGCTGGAGTAGCCAATTTCATTTCTGAATTGAGTCACATCCACCTCCTAGTAACTCCACTTTTGGTGTTTGTTAAGCTCTATAGGTTATTCCTACAGAACAAGACTTCTAATGAAAGAAATGAGTAGAAGCCTGTAATGTCTCGCTTCTGCCTCTCCTTCCACACTCCTTTTCATTGTCATTTATGTACTGTCCTAGTGGAGAAAACTACAGACGATCTCTGTTTGCTGTGTCTCTGACTCTTCCCTAGCGTTTGCATTGGACTGTGTGTCATAGCTGCACTGCATACTAAGGCCCTTTTGTTAATAGGAGTTCATCAGAATCTTTCATTGCTCCCCTATTTATTGTTTCTGTTTCTATTGTGCCACCCAGATACCTGAAATAATAAGGGGGTAGAAACAAGTCAGAACATCCACCAAATAATTTTAATTGATTAGAGCTATGAAGACAGGTTGCATACTTGAATCTTTTTAAGGTGATCGGTAGGGATGCTATAAATTTTATAATATCTCTTAATTTTCCTTTCCTTTCCCTCCATTATCATCAAACTTTTAGAAGACCTGTGATTTAGAATGGTAAGTAGATATTTAAGGTGGGAATCCTTAGTGCTAAGTTACATGCCAGACTTCATTTCTTTGGGCTTAGTATTTGCAAAGCAGTTTAAAGAGTTCGGGAGAAAACATAAATGGTGTGGAAATCAAAGGTCAAGGTCTTGAAGCATATGTGTGTCAGTGTCTCCTTAACATTTTAATCATCCTGTCCCAAAATTTTGGGTATCTTAGAGGGGTTCATCTCTCGGAGTCTGAGGACCTCTGAATCATAAGCTTCCCTTTTCTGATTATATTTGGCCCATCATTCTCTAATTCCTGCCCTCCAGAATTATTAGATAAGAAAATAGGTTTAAGGATGCTCTTTTTGAATGAAAATCTATAATAAGCATAGGTCCAATTGTTGCATTTTCTAGATGAAACATTATTGGAGACAGTGTTTCCTGGAAGATTTCAGACTTTTTTTCCCCCCAGTACTGAATTTGTAAAATTATTACCTTTAAAATTAAGCTCATACTTAATACCTTCATTTTGTTTTTGCACCATTCTTTGGGGTTTTTATTTTTTGCTTTTTGCATGGAAATTTCCAAGAATCGCAAGCCTTAAGAGATTTGAAACTAGAATCTCATCAGTTCAAAATTTGCAAAATACATTGGTTCAGGGAAAAAAGGGCTACTCTACCTCTTAAATAACATCATTTTCCACATGATATTTTCCACTAAAGGTTATGTTATATGACAAGAATATGGAGTCTGTTATTGACTAGAAAATGGAAAACTGAACAAGATTTGTAAACACTCGCATAGAAAGACAGTTGCACATCTCCCAAACCGTATCTTCTTTTCTGCATGCCACATGGATCTAGCCAGTGTGGTGTATGATCATTTTATGGCCTGTGAAGGTCCCTACCTTTTGTTTTTAGAGCATGTGGGTCTTTTACAAATCGTCCCTCACTAGCACATTGCCAGGGCAACAGAATATCCAAATTGACAGCTAATCCGACTTCTTGGCTGAGCCACACCAGACACTGTTTGGTCCTAAAACTATTTGATTCTTCTTCTTTAATTTCTCTCTAAACAACAGAAGAAACCTCACTACCTGTTTATCAGTGCCTGAAAGGACAAAATCTTTTGTGGACTTTTTTTCTTTTGTTTTGGTTGGTTCTTCATGTCCAATTTTTCTCCAAGATGGTATCCAGAATAATTGTAGAAGGGACTTGGGCTTTTTGCCTATTTTGAATGCTGAAAGGTGAGAAATATTCCAAGAGTTGTATATTTTGGTTAGTAAGAAGCCTCCTTATCTGTTCATAAGGGCAATGGTGGCCTATTCCATGAGTACGTACTTTGGGGAAGTGTGGCAGGGCTGGGTGACCTTGTAGGTCTGGATCCACTGTGAAGACCAGTAGTAGAAATCATCGCCATTGGCTGTACTAAGCTTCCATAAGTGTCGACCTATAAAAGAATAAATGTAGGAGAGAAAGCAAAGCCTCAAGCTTGAATGAAAGATAGATAGACCACCACATTTTCTTCCTTTACGCTTTAGAAGTTCACCTGGACCCCTACAGAACGTGGTGTCCTGTCGCAGACTGTCAGACGGTATGCCCCGTCGCATCAAGTGAGCCAGGACAGCCCGTGCTCGTGGAGTGCCCTTCTTGCCACCTGAAGTTCTGCTCGTGCTGCAAGGATGCTTGGCATGCAGAGGTCTCCTGCAGAAACAGTCAGCCTAGCGTCCTGCCAACAGAGCACGGGTAAGAAAGGAAACTTCGTCTTGGGATTATTCACTAGTGTTCTTAGAAATATGTTGCTTGGAGAAGGAGTTATATTGTGATGAAATTTCAAGGTAAGTTATTTCCCTGCAGAGGTTTCCTGAGAAGTGTCTCAGAATTGGTAAGTTATTAACAAAGAATAACCAAATAAGCATGTCTAAAGGGATTTTAGTTATTTACCCCCAGAGAATCTTCCAGATACGGCTGACGTTAGAGTCTATATGAGTTTTGATTTCTTTTTAGGTAGGAGGCATGTGGTCCCTTGGTCCTCCGTAGGAAGTCATGACTTTTGTCCACAGCCGTTTGCTTAGGTACCGTGACCGCCTACAATTGATACACCTCATTCTTCCTGCTTGTGAAGAGGTGCAGAAATGATTTTCTTCCCTGACTCACTTGCCAGCTTGTGAGGTGTGCCAGTCATATCAAAAGGAACACAGCAGTAGAAACAACAGCCATTCAGTGTAGTAGGCTGCTAAAATTCGTGAGTACTAGAGAAAGAGAGCTTATCTTTCAGTACGTTGTGCTCTGAAAAAAAACAGTGCTGAGGTTGAGATTTTGTTATGATGAGAAGCAATGCACTCTGTACCTTCTAGGACGGAGCGTTTTTATGGCAGCAGCAGGGCCTAGAGTGAGAGACCTTTGTGTCGGATCCCTTGCTTTGCTTGAGGCTATGGCTGTTTTGCATCAGCAAGATCAGAAATACCAGTGTTACCGTCCCGCTGGCTTAATCACCCAGCACCCTCGCAGTGTGGAGAGCCATTCTCCAGGAACAGAAATGCTACCTGGCTGTGATGCTGTGCTTGAAGTGCAGACCAAACACATCAAGAGGAGAAAAAGAGCTAACACACGTGGCAGGCATGTGCCCGCTTAGCCGGTACCTGCTACATTGTCACTGCCACGCAGCAAGGTCCCCGGGGAATCACAGGACAATGTAAAGATCCTAGAGGAGAGATGGATTGAGTTCTGACATTGTCGCTTGGTATCTGTGACTTCATGCAAGTCATTCAGCCTCTATGAGTCATTTCTCTATTTGAAAAAAAAAAGGAGAGGAATGAAAACGGTGGCTGTCCCCCTGCTGTGTAGGGTTATTATGAGCACCAAATCCAGTCATAGGTTTGAGCACACTTTGTGAAACTGATGTTTCCACGTGCTGGGTGGTGGTTTTGATGAACAGTAGCTAAAATGCAACTCAGTGCTCTGGCTCACCCAGGCCTCCCTCCACCTCAGCTTGTTCTACTTATTTTCTACGCCCCTTGAGCCTGTGAGCCTTGCTGGCCTATTCGTCTATTTGGAGCAGGTCTTTTCAATGATATTGGGCATTTATTTGAAAGAATTGATGATTGACTCCCTCCAATCCCCTCCGTTTGTTTATTTGCACAGATCATTAG